TGTTCATAACATTCCTTATTTTAGACAGTATTTTATCAGCTGGAACATCAGAAGGAATAAGAATTAGGTCATGATGACTGTGTTGACCTGTGTTTTAAGCAGTCTAACAATCTTAGGAATGTTGTAACAAAATGTCAGCTGCTACAGCTTTGGCTTAACTCCTGCTGGATGAGCAATTGGTAATGAAGACAAATTTTTCACTATTTCACTAATTTCTAGATACAGGCTCTTAGGTATTTGTCTCCTTTTCATTTCACACCTCAGTGCCTGTATGTTAACCACAAGCCATCAGCTGGTGAAAATGAGCAACTACATCTAACAATTTCAGCAATGCAACTGCCTTAGCTGAAGAGTAGAATAGTGCTTTAGATTCAGAAATGAGGCTCAAGCTACTTCAAAAAATCCGTTACAGGGCAACAGGAGGAATGAAGAATTATCAGTGGATGGGAAATCACTTGCTTCTTGTTAACATCAGCTTACAGCTATAAACAACTTTTCTAACCTCTGATATGATTCTCAACTTTTAGCAGATTTTGCTTTTAGCAGATTTCACAACATCCTAGATAATGCTGTTTGGCACGATAAAAAGCCATAAACTCATGTTACCACCATTCTGTGGCAGAATTTCATGTGTGTAAAAAAAAAAAAAAGGTTTATCATACCTCCCCAACTTACAAGTTTCATTCAAGACACCCTGATTCTGCTACATCTTCCTTTGATTACAATAGAATAGCACTGCAATCGCCTTATGCACCACTTGCCATCACAAGCAGAGAAGAGAAGAGGGCCTACAGGGATCTTTCAAAATGAGCAGTTTCATCTCCACACGTACCAGTGCTCAGCATAGCCTGTTTTGCTATACTGTCCTCTGTTCCACATAATGCTCAGATGAATGCTTGTTTCTCACTGGACTATGCGAGAGGAATTAAGGCCATCTTCTCAGTCAAAGCTTTTTCAGCAAAGCATATTGTTGCAGAATGACTCTAAGAGCAGGACCATAGAGTTCTGGAGAACTGTGCAAGCAAGGCAGGGGGTGGCCCCCACAGGTGGCCGGAGACCGGACCTGGGAGGAGAATGTGGAGGAAGCTGTGGGGGCTAACCAATACTGTTATGCCAAGAAGGAGTGGCTGAATACCACTCCTATATATGTGTGAACTGCGTCACAAATAAAGTAGAAGTTGCTTATCACCCATATTGGGTTGGCCGGTCTGCTTCTCCTCGCCGCTTACAGCATGTTAGGACCCCCCTGTTTTACTCCTATCCCTCCTATTTCACCTGCCACACTTAACCATTCTAACAACCATCCCAAACACAGTTTTTGCCCCAAGACCGGGCTCAAGACAATTCACCTACCTTTAGGAGGTGCTGGCTGGACATTAACAACTGGCTGATGTTTTGGCAGTGGCACAAGTGCGGGAAGAGTCTGAATAATTATGGTTTTAGCTGGGATGCCAACATTAGCCTGAGCTTCAGGTACAGCAGGCAAAAGGGGTTTGGGTTGTATCAAAGGCCTGGACACTGTCTGACTACACCTCTTGAGGGTCCTTGCAGAGTTATTTGCTAGGAAAGAAAAAGGGTCAGAGTTGGACCAGAAGATATATAGAACTCAAGCAGTAATAACATGACTTTTGGTATGTTCTTTTTTTTACTCATCTATAATATTTGTTAAATCCAGACACATATGGTCACAAATCCAAGTCACAAATGACAGGATATACAGGATACATAATAGGTCTGTTAGTTAAAGATTCATATGCAAGACAATATACATACTATCTACGGAATCAAAGTAACTTAATTTCATACCAGACCGAGAAGTGATGCTGATAACAGGCTTCTTCCCTCCATCTTCTTCAGGTGATGCAGGGCTTCTGCAACTCTTGCTGTAGAGAGAGACTGGAGACATCTGGGAGCTACTGCTGAAGTCCACATCATCCTGCAGACAGAAAATGTATGAAATTAATGCTTCAGAAACACCTGAAAGTGTCTACTAGCATTTCAGAACATAACCGCCTTTTATAACATCTGTGCTGCTGCTGCAGCAAAGAGAAGAAAGGTTTTGTTCTGCAGGTTTATTCTGATCAAAGCTAAGTACTACAGAAAAGCAAACAAGTAGCTCTCCTTATCAGCAGTATGATGGGAAGCAAAGGTCAGCAACTGCTAGACTCAGAAGCCTTTAGAAGGCATATTGTTTGGCAACCAGGCCAATAAACACAGCTGAGGAACTAGAACTGAACATGCTCTTTTTAGAATGGGTCTCTAGAAGAGAGGAAAACCAAAACATAGCTGAAGGAAATTTGCTTTTGCAAAGGTTAGAAAAATAAGCTGTTTCCTCTTATGCCATGAAGTTGTTCAGACAGTTAAATCACTGGGCTTTTTGTTTGTCACAGCTGGTTTTGAATGACTGATGCTGTTTGTGTTACATGGAAGTTTCTGCATACAGGCACATTCTGCACTGGAGAGTCCACAGATGATGGAGAAGGGACCGAACAATTTGAAGCGGCTGGTGATAAGGGTTCTGTCTTCACGCTTGCATCTGCAAGAGGCAGATAAAGAAATTTTACCGTACAAATTTTTAGCAATGGGAGATCAGTGAAAAACACACGGCCCTATATCAGCTATTTAATTCCTGAAGCAAGGCACAGCAGAAAACATAGCAAGATTAAAGATACTAAACAGCTTAGCTTGTAGGGCAGTCCTCACCAGTTGTATCCATCCTGCATACACACATCATGATTTCTTATCACAGAGATAAACGCTATAGGGTATGAAATAGTTTCAACAAGTTACCAATATTCTTAAATTGTAACAGCTCACCCTTGTGGGATGGAGGGGAATAGTCACACTTGCAAAATACAGAGGTTAATTACCTGTAAAAGCATGGCCTGTAATATTCCAAAGGTCTGAGTCCCAAGACATCAAATCCAAATCAAAATGAAAGTTATAGAGATCATTTTCCTGGAACGACAGTTCAGAAAAAGAAAGAATACAAAAAGGCAATACAAATTGAAGCTACCATCCATTATGTTCACATTCTTACAGCTCTGGAAAACAACACAACTATCACTTCAGTTGCCTTAAAGCACACAGAGATAAAAGCCCTTAAGGAGGCAATTCTCAGCTGGAATACACAAGACAAGGCCATCGTAGATACATAAGAAAGAAGAATGTAATTTTAAGACTATCACTAATTATTGTACTGTTATCAGTAATTTGTAAAGCAAAAGTTCCAAGTCTAGTCATTGAATCATCTCATACATAGCACAAGTTTTACCAACTTGTTCCCATCCTCCCCTTCATCTGCATCCCATCACATCTCAAAGCACTTCATAAGCAAAAGCACCAGCAACAGCAGGAAGAGCCACAAGGCCTGATTCGCTCAGCATCTAATGAACAGCACATATTAGGTCTCCCTATACTTGAATAAACTGACATCATAACCTTCTAAAGCCAGGGACACCAGTTTCCTTTTCCATCAGAAGGTGATGGGGGAAAGACTAAAATCACGTTATACATATTATTTATTGAATGACCTTTACGACAATGATAGAAATGCTCCATCAGCATTTCTTCTGCTGATGTGTCTGTAAGCCTCAGTTCCCTACTCAAATATGACATTTTTATGAGCTCTTGCATGAAAAATACAAATATCACGTACCCAACTTATACAAATACACAGCAAATATCTTATCACTAAAAACTATCCTGCAAATGTACCTTTCCTTACACTCTCAACTTGCCTTGTAAAGGGAGGCTCAGAAAGGCACAGACTGCATGGATATTAGTTTCACACTAGTGTGAAGAGAAAGCATATCAGGGTGCATTTACAGGGAGAATGACCAAAAGCCATAGCCCAAGCTGGGCAATAAGAGCACGTGGGTAACTAAAGCTGACTTGGAAATACTTATCCATTGTACAGTCAAGGAGTTCTCACATTTTGTCCAACACCTAGCTCTAGAACCTGTAAGAATGATCTTAGCATCTGAGGTTTATGTTGGATAATGCAGGGGTTGTGCTGGAGGTGGGTTAGGACACGGTGAGCAAAGGAAAGGCAGTGGAACAACACAGAGAGGAGAATCCATGCTCTGGGACAGAAAAAGCAGTAGGTACAATCAGACAGTGAAAAACATGGGGATGAATGCATAAGGTTGCAAGCAAAGTTTTAGGAGAAAACCCTACAATAGACAAGAAAACAAGAAGCTGTCATACAAGCAAGGTGATAAAGCACAGCACTGCTGGATGCAGGTGTAGCGTTTCAATGCTTCTCCATATGTCTCCTTTCACACAACCCAGAAACGTTCTCCCCACTAGCTCTGCCTTCATTACCTTCATTAGGTCAGTGACAATACAGCTCTCCCAACTCAGCACCTCAAACTTTCACCTTTAAACCTGGTTTTTAGATCTCTAGCCTTGACACAGTCAGTTTATCAAGGCACTGATTACTCAGCACCTCCACATCTAACGCACGGGTGAACAGCCTGCCCGCCACCGGCAGAGAGCGAGTGTCTCCTGCCAACGGGTGCCGTGACAACCGCACTGCTGCTCCTCGCCGCCGCCCAGTCCGCAGCCGATAGTGCGGGTAGCCCGGCCTCCCGCCGCCACCGTCCGATACTCACGTCGGGCTCGTCCCTCAGGGCCCGCCGCGGCTCCGCGGGACCCAGTAGCTCACTCAGCTCTTCGCCCAGCACCGCCTCTGCGGGAGAGACAACAGCCTCAGCGCCGACCCGCCCAGGGGCTCCCCACCTCCCGGCCCTCTACCGCCACAGCCGCCCTCACCCCAGTCGAGACCGCTCCCCGGGGCCGACAGCAGCCCCGCAGGCTCCCACTCGGCCTCAGCCACCGCCGCCATCGCTTCCGTCTTCCTCCCGAAACACACGTCTGCTTCCGGCAGCGCCGCGCCCCGCCTCTCCCCTCCCCGCCCGGCCCCTCCCCTCCTACGGCGGCCGCCCAGGGACACGCGGCTGCGGTACCGGCCCACCCGCGCGCAGGCACGCAGACGGTTTCTTAGACACAGCAGTTTATTGAGGCCCCGCTGGCACAAGCCCGTCGCCAGAACCATGAACGGCGGGAGCAGGGAGGCAGCTCCGTCAGGGGACGGACCCGGCCCAGGCCTGGCCCCAGAGGGCGGCCAGCGGCCCGGGTGCTGGTGCACGGCTTTGCGGGGAGGCAGCGCCTCTGTGTGTGTGTGTGTGTGCGCGCACGCAACGGGGGTGCCGCCTCCACGGGCAGCGCAGGTCGGGACTGCAGGCAAAGACACGAAGCCCTTCTAGGCCCTGGCAGCAGCTCCTGCTGGGTCTGCGGCGCTGGGGAACACGGTGGGGTTTGGTCCGGGCCAGGCTGGAAGCACGGGGGGAGAGAGCCCTTGGTACACCACCAAAAGCACCGTGCCTCCCCTTTCCCCACTTAAGGGATGTCCACACTTAGGAGCACCCCAGCCAGGAGGATAGCTGCCCAGGTGGATTTTCCACAAGTGACTCCGCAGAAGCAGCAGCACTTCCAGCCCACTGCAGGAGCACAGGGTGCTATATGCATCTTGCTAGCGCTCACCTTACAGGTTGGCATCATAGGCTGCATTGGTGAAGATGCCAGGCGAGCCTAGGTCACTGAAAGACAAACACAAGGATGTCACCTTCGGGGAGGGTGCAGGGGTGTGAAGGGCAGGGGTTTGCACAGGCCCATCAGCCCTGTATACAAAAACAGCCTCACACAGGCAGTTTGGAGTGAGAGCTGGTTGAGAGCAGGGTGGCTGCAGGGCTGTAATGGGCACAGAGCAGAGCCATCCTCCTCCAGAGCACAACTCTCACCTGGTAGGGTTCAAGAGCTTCTTCTTCTCCTCTGATAATGGTGTTGAAATGTCCACAGGGATAGAGCAGATGGAAAAAAAATAACCAGATCTCTTTAGTGAAGGACATGAGAAGCTGCAGCAGCAGCATCTGAAATTGAACTGAGTTTTACATGTGTGGGATGAAGCAAGGGTGGGGTGCTGAAGCACTTCCCTTCTTCCCCTTCATAGTGAAGGTGTTTTTCTGGCTTTCCCCTCTAGACGTGGTTGCTGATGCTTTCAGCTGGATAAATTGCCAAGAAGCCAACCAACTTGAAGCAAGTAAGACAAGTGGATTGAGGCAGTCACACTGTTAAACTCTTCTGATCATCCCACCCTCCCCTGGGACTCTGTAACCAACTTCCCTGGGAGCCCCCACCCAAAGTGACAGTGGGCTGCAGGAGGTGTTTCCTTACCTCTGTCACTGAGCCGCTTGGCTATGAGGGCAATGAGCATCCCAGAGAGCATGACACCAGCTACCGCCAGAGCTGTGCCACTGCTGTAGGCCAGGACTTGCTTTAAGAAGAGGGCACCATCCTCTAAAACGGATCCACAGACCCAGAGGTTAGAAAGTTGTCGGAAAGATTTCACAGTACCCAAGCTGCTAGGGTGCCCCCAACAATATTCAAGGTGTGCTGCAGGAAGCTGAACCCCACACACTGCTTGAGGAGCATGGAGTCCCACCATACCTGCACAGACAGGGGGTTGCCTAGTCCAGTTCCCTGTGACTGCACACCAGAGCACCTCTGCTCCCATCCGAACAAACCCCTCCTCACAGGAAAAGGTGCACGTGGAGTTGTATGTGAAATTCCCATACATGTGAGAGCAGCTCAGGTGACTTCTGCTGGGGGGGTCCAGCTCCGGGCAGCTGATGGCTGGTGATAGAGCACAGCAGCAGCATCAGTAGGACAGGACAGATATTAGTGGGATGGGGACATGCGTGCTGGGGAGGTAGGGGATGAGCTGCCATGGACTGGGGTGCTAAGGGGAATTTGATGCTGAGGAAAGTCTGCTACAACAAAATCTACCTTTGCATTGTGGAGTTTCGCCAGTCCAGGTCCCCATGGCCGTGCACTTGTGGCTCTCCAGCCCCATCAGTGCAAACCCCATCTGGCAGGAGAAGACACACGTGGAGCCAAAAGCAAAATCCCCATGGAGGTGGGAGCAGTTCAGCTCTCCCCAGGCTGGAGCACTGAGCACTGGGCAGGTGATGGCTGCAGGGATAGAGATGCATTTCAAGCAGGAGCCTGGGAACTACAGGGTAAACTGTTGGGATGAAAGGACCAAGATATCCAAGAACATCCTAGGATCAACCCAAGGCCTGTGACACCTTGAGCAGCAACTCTACCTTCACAGTGTGGGGAGTCCCCAGTCCAGGTCCCCATGGCTGTGCACTCAAGGCTTTCTGGCCCCATCAGTATAAACCCTGTCTGGCAGGAGAAGGCACATGTGGAGCCGAAGGTGAAGTTCCCATGGAGGTGGGAGCAGTTCAGCTTTCCTTGGTCTGGAGCACTGAGCAGTGGGCAGGCAACAGCTGCAGGGTGAATAAGCACACTTCAAGCAGGAGCTTGGGAACAATGACACTGAACTGTTAGGATAACAGGACCAAGACCCCCTAGAACATCCTAGGGTTAACCCAAGGCACGTGACACCTTGAGCACTAACTGTACCTTCACACTGTGGGGCATCCCCAGTCCAGGTCCCTGTGGCCGTGCACTCACGGCTCTCTGGCCCCATCAGTGCAAACCCCATCTGGCAGGAGAAGACACAAGTGGAGCCAAAAGCAAAGTCCCCATGGAGGTGGGAGCAGTTCAGCTCTCCCCAGGCTGGAGCACTGAGCACTGGGCAGGTGATGGCTGCAGGGATAGAGATGCATTTCAAGCAGGAGCCTGGGAACTACAAGGCTAAACTGTTGTGATGAAAGGACCAAGATATCCAAGAACATCCTAGGATCAACCCAAGGCCTGTGACACCTTGAGCAGCAACTCTACCTTCACAGTGTGGGGAGTCCCCAGTCCAGGTCCCCATGGCTGTGCACTCAAGGCTTTCTGGCCCCATCAGTGTAAACCCTGTCTGGCAGGAGAAGGCACATGTGGAGCCGAAGGTGAAGTTCCCATGGAGGTGGGAGCAGTTCAGCTTTCCTTGGTCTGGAGCACTGAGCAGTGGGCAGGCAACAGCTGCAGGGTGAATAAGCACACTTCAAGCAGGAGCTTGGGAACAATGACACTGAACTGTTAGGATAACAGGACCAAGACCCCTTGGAACATCCTAGGGTTAACCCAAGGCACGTGACACCTTGAGCACTAACTGTACCTTCACACTGTGGGGCATCCCCAGTCCAGGTCCCTGTGGCTGTGCACTCACGGCTCTCTGGCCCCATCAGTGCAAACCCCATCTGGCAGGAGAAGACACACGTGGAACCAAAAGCAAAGTCCCCATGGAGGTGGGAGCAGTTCAGCTCTCCGCGATCTGGAGCACTGAGCACTGGGCAGGTGATGGCTGCAGAGTAAATAGGCACACTTCAAGTAGGAGTCTGTGGACTATGATGCTAAACTGTTGGAGTAAGATATCCAAGACACCAGAGAACATCCTATGGTTACCCCAAGGCCTGTGACACATCGAGTAGCAACACTACCTTTGCACCGTGGAGTGTTCCCAGTCCAGGTCCCCATGGCTGTGCACTCACGGCTCTCTGGCCCCATCAGTGCAAACCCCATCTGGCAGGAGAAGAGACACGTGGAGCCAAAGGTGAAGTCTCCATGGACGTGGGAGCAGTTCAGCTCTCCCCGGTCTGAAGCACTGAGCACCGGGCAGGTGATGGCTGTAGGGACAGAGGTACATTCCAAGCAGGAGCTTGGGGACTGAGAGACTAAACAGTTGGGAGAAAGTGGTTGGGGTGACACTAGAATGTTTGCCAAGATTATTGACACCCTGAGCTTTAGCAGCAGCAATACCTGCACATCTTGGGGCATTCCCAGTCCAGGTCCCTGTAGCTGTGCAGTTCCGGGTCTCTGGCCCCATCAGTGCAAACCCTGTCTGGCAGGAGAAGGCACACGTGGAGCTGAAGGCGAAGTCCCCATGGAAGTGGGAGCAGTTCAGCTCTCCCCAGTCTGGAGCATGGAGCTCTGGGCAGATGATGGCTGCAGGGATAGAGATGCATTTCAAGCAGAAGCCTAGGAACTACAAGGCTCAACTACTGGGATAAGAGGACCAAGATACCCAAGAATATCCTAGGATGTTACAGGATAACAACCTAGGATAACAACCCAAGGCCTGTGACACCTTAATTTTACCTTCGCAGCTTGGGGCATCCCCAGTCCAGGTCCCCGTGGACATGCACTCACGACTCTTCAAACCCATCAGTGTAAACCCTGTCTGGCAGGAGAAGGCACACGTGGAGCCGAAGGTGAAGTCCCCATGGAGGTGGGAGCAGTTCAGCTCTCCCCGTTCTGGAGCACTGAGCACTGGGCAGGTGATAGCTGCAGGGTAAAAATGCACACTTCAAGCAGGAGCTTGGGGACTGAGAGACTAAACTGCAGGGATCAAGAGGCTGGGGAACATCCTATGGTTACCCCAAGACCAATCACATCCTGAGCTCTAGCAGCAACTCTACCTTCACAGTGTGGGGTATCCCCAGTCCAGGTTCCTGTGGCTATACACTCGCGGCTTTCCGACCCCATCAGTGCAAATCCTGTCTGGCAGGAGAAGGCACACGTGGAGCCAAAGGCGAAGTCCCCGTGGAGGTGGGAGCAGTTCAGCTCTCCCCAGTCTGGAGCACTGAGCGCTGGGCAGGTGATGGCTGCAGTGGGAGAGCAGGTCTCAGAGACAGGATAGATGAGGTTAAATCTAGGGATTAGGGCTGATTCCCAATCAAACAAAACCAAATCTATTGTGAAATGTCTTTGATTTACCTTTCTCACCCAGACAAGTTTCACCTCTTTAAAAACAGTAGCAATGTAGCTGGTACTATGATTTTTTCTGCCATATGATTTCCTGGGGGAAAAATTGCTGTCCTGCCAGAGACCTGTTTATCCCATGCACTATCCCTGGTCACAGCCCCCAGGATGAAGGCCTGCAGCTGCTGCAGTCCTCCTCGGTGACACAGGAAAGTGGAGCAGGGCTCTCACATTCCCCCAAAAGTCTCAGCACCTCTGTGTGACACCTGGCGGCAAACCCTCAAGCCACTGGCGTGAAGACCTTCCCTACCCCTGAAGCATAACATAACATGGCTTTCTGTCCTTTGTGGCTTCCTGCTTGCTCTGTCCCTCCCATGTTATACCTAATCTTATCTCACAGATCCTCAACCCCACTCAATGTGGCCCAGCCCTGCCCTTCCCGAGGCAGTGGGACAGCAGCCCCTCTTCGTTCCTCTCTGAGGACTCCCAAGATGCAGAGCACCTTCCAAGGTGGATTGGAGTGGGCTTGGCAAGACGGAAATAGTGCCAGCAGAGTGATGGAGGTGCCAAGATGCTGTTCTGCCCATGTGTTTGGTGCACACAGGGTGCTGGCACCTGGGTGGGATTGAGCATAGTGAGCAAGAGCACTGGGACAGCCAGGGAGAGCAGGGGGCTTACCCAGAGCTCACAGCCACTCTGCCAATCACAGCCTCATTGGGAAACTGCTTCCCACATGTGTCACCAGAAGGTACTTCCTTGATGGGTAAGGGGCCCAGTGAGCCCCTGCTTGCCATTGGGCATGCAGGGCTGGCCCCCTGAAAGTATCAATGTCACATCCCTGAGACCCCCAGCTGCTGGCAGGCCATACCTGTGCACATGGGAGTGTCTGCTGACCACTTCTGGGAAGGCAGGCACCGCAGGGTGCTTGCCCCTTGCTGTTCAAACCCTTCCTGGCATTCAAACACACAGGTGGAGTTGTAGCTGAAGCGTCCATAGGGATGGCTGCAGTTCATTTGCACTCCCTTGGGGTCAAGCTCAGTGCACTGCACAACTGCGAGAGACAAAGCACCGGCAGCCTGTTAGGAGCACAGCTGAACTTGCACACTTTGCTGCCAGTCTCAGGCTCTCCGGGAGGGAGGGAGGGATGGGGATGGATGGCTCACCATCCTCACACTCATGACCATGGAAGCCAGGGTAGCACTCGCAGCGGTAGCTCCCGATGGTCTCCACACACTTGCCGCGCTGGCTGCATGGGAAGGGCTGGCAGGAGGCTGTGCACACAGAGGACAGTCATCAGAAGCCACTGGCCACCCTGCTGAGGTCCCCAGCCCACCTGATCCACGATCCCCCCAGCTCACCCCGGTAGCACAGTGCTTTTTTCCTCCGGTTGCAGGGCTCATCATTCCACTTGCCAGACTCAAACAGCCGCTTGATGTAGATCTCCACACAGTCCTGGTTGGAGCGGCGATTGTTGGGCTCCCCAGCTGCCCAGTTCTCTGCCTCCTTTGTCAGTGCCTTCTTAGTGCCCACCCAGGTCCAGGTGCCACTCAGTTTGCGGATGCCGATCCAGTAGTAGCGCCCATAGAAGGGCAGGCTCTTGTTGAGGTACTCAATCTCCTGCTTGTTCTGGATCGCCACCAGGTCAGTGAAGAAGGTCTGGCAGTAGTTCCTGGCCTGCTCCCATGTGTAGTCCCCTTGGTCACTGTAGTGGTATGTCCAGGCACTCACCTCCAGTTGTGTTATCGTGCCTGTGAGAATGGATGAGGTCCAGGACTGACACAGAAAGGATGGAAGCTAGGTCGGGAACTGGGTCCCTTGGCATATGAGGGTGGGCTAGGCCAAGAGATGCCAATGGCCAGCTGGGTGAGGGGATGTGTCAATGGGACAAGTGTGGGTGAGAATGGAAATGTGGGTGGATCAGGCATGGCAGAAGGAGCTGAGGTGAGACTGAGGAGGATGGCACAGAGATGAGGAAGGTGGGGGAGATGAGGTGAAAGCTGAGACAGAGGGCAGCATAGGATGGGGCAGGCAGAGCACAGGTAGCAGAAGAGCCCCAAGCGAAGATGGCAACCTCTCCTCCAGGACAAGAAATGAAAGCCCAACCCCACAGCCCTGCTCCCCTGCCCACAAAGGTTTCCCAAAGGGCAAAACCCAATATCAAGATGGTTCTTTAAACACAGTTCCTTCTTCAAGCACAGAGGTATACCACTTTGGTTTTCTTTCTTTACACTTCTACACAAGAGTCAACTTGGAGCAAGGCAGAGCAACAAGCATGCCCTCACCCCCAAAAGCACTTAGATCCCAACCTACTAATCTCAGTCAGAGATAGTCTGAAGAATCATGTAAAATTCAGTATTGCAAAATAACATCTTGCAAAAGTCAAGTTCACATCCTGGTCATGGCCACCAGGCAAGACAAAGCCACACCCAGAAGTGAACCCACACCCAGAAGTGAAGAGCACCCTGCTCTTACTTACAGCGTTTCACACCACAGCTTGATGCAATCAAAGGGTTTAGCCACAAAAAAGCTTCCTCCCACCTCCACAGAAGCAGGTATCTCCACAATTGCAAAAAAGATATGGGAATCCTATCTCCATTTAGCAGAAAGTGAGATGGGGATCAGAGTTTGCTCCAAACAACTGGCCTGGGGAACCCTGTGCCTCAGGAAAGCATATCAAACTGTGGTCGTGCATGCAGAGGTCTGGACATCGCAGATTAGATGTAAATGTAGGGCTTTCTGAGTCTAATTAGGTCTCTGGTTTGGTCAATTATGTTTTTTCTAAGCAAAATTCCCATAATTTGTCTGGTTTTCCTTGTGAAGAGCAAACTATCCACTTTGTTCAAGACAACCAAAGCTGAGGAAATGGTGGCCTTCAGCTACAGCCCTCCACCACTTGGGAGTTTGGGGCTGCAGGGGAGAAGCCCAGGGCACTTCCTGGGAAACTGCTCCAACCTCAGCTCCCACCACCTACCTCCTGGCCCTTGCTACCCTCCCAGCACAGCTTAGGGCAGCTGCCCTGCTACCCTCACACACTCCAGCCCCAAACCAAGAAGGACCAAGGGAGCCCATCTGCTGCATGCCCATTCTTCACATGCTCTCCTACCTCTTTCCTCCAGCTCCACCAGCAACACCCTCTCTGTAGCAAAACTCATCCCCACTCCTTCCACACAGCCTTGTGTTACCTCTCCCTGCTCACTTGGAGCTGAACCCCAGGTGGGTGCTGTTTGCCTGCATTTCCATCCCCAGGCAGATGCAGCGCCCTCCCAGCCCAGAAAGATCCAGCCCTGGGCTGGCAGCCATGGGGGTTGTGAGCGATGACCTCTCAACACTGCTGCCCTTCTTCAATTTCCTGGGCTTGCAGGCTCCCTGGCAGTAGAGTCACACTGAGCGGCTGGAGAGTGGCTTACCCCATGCAATGGCAGCGATGCCCAGGTAGCAGATGCCATGAGAGCTCAGAGCCCATGTCCTTCCAGCAGACCGCAGTCCCGGAGCAGTGCCCTTTATGCCAGGGAGAGAGATATGAGCATGCATGGGGGCTTATGGGCGGGGCTGTGCACCCACACCCCTGCCAGGTAGTCCTGGTAGCCACACGGGTACGTTGCTTATGCTGGCTCACACAGAGGCACGCTGTGTGCAGGTACTGCTATGCTGTAGAATGGGCCTCTCTAGTGAGGCGCTGTGCCTATAGCACAGCTGGACAGTGGGGGAGCCCATCTGCAGTTCACTCCTGGGGAGCCCCTAAGTACAGGGCATACTCTCCCCACACACCAAGGGCTGGCATCTGCCTCCAGCAGCAGCACCATTTCCTGGCAGTATCTACCTATAGCCCTGCCCTCCCCTAATTCCCTTTTTTAAGCAGACCCCAACACATCCCCAAGGAAAAGAGAAGGACTTACCATGTCAGCACCACAGACACGCCTTGCCCAGCTGCTGGCAGTGCCAGGCGCATCTGCCCCTCTGTGGGCAGTGGTGCTCACACTTCCTCCAAGTGTGCAGAGCATTGCTCCCTGCTCTTGTCTTCTTCCCCTCCCACCCCAGCCCTGCTGCCAACCCGCATCCTGCCCTGCACTCCCGCCTCCCCCAGCACAGGGCTCTCCCATCCGCAGAGACCCTGCTCCCAGCCTGAAGCCAGAGGGGAGCAGCAGGGTCAGCCCTGGCCGCAGCCCTGGCAGGACTCAGCTCAATGTCTGCCCCATGGCACAGGAGCTGGGTGCATCCCCACGGGGACATGACAGCCACAGGAGCAGACAGACAACAAGCTGGGCTTGCCCAAGCCCCCCAGGAGGTGGAGAAGGGTCCCCCAGGAAGGGTCCAGCCCGTGGTGCCCAGGGCACTGAGACCTCTCTAACCCACCACGTCCATGTTTCTTCACAGGTGTTTGGAGGACAGAGGAGGGATGAGCTGTGATGAGCTCCCACGTGGGCTAAGTGGGAGCGTGGCTCACAGCCTGCCAGCTCCTGTGCTCGATGCTCTCCTTGCTTGCAGGCTTTTTGCTCTGGCTGTGAATCTTCATATACCATTTATAAATGGTTACTTACACAATGAATTTTCCCATCTTTGCCTTTAAGTCTTTATGAGAAAGTTCCAAGAACATGCCAGAGGAATTTCCCTGGAGTTGTTAACATCCTTTAGGAACTTCCACTGGTGCTTCAGGAACATGCCTCATTGTGTCCACCTCCCGTTGGATCACTCTTGAATCATCATAAATCTTTCCTTACCCCATTCTGTTTCTAAGTTAAATTGACTTGGCAGGTTTTCTGCAGGAATTACTCTGCTCTCTTCCAGTTAAAGCCAAAGTGTGAGCCATGCAAGTCACATGCATTTTCCAGTTCCATAGAAATTGATGCTGCTCCACTGGGACTCATGCTAGACAAAAGCAGGAACCCATCCCACAAAAGCTGTAACCCACTACGATGACTTTATACCTGGCCAATGTAAATGAATCTTGGTTCCTGTCTCTGGGTATTTTCCTTGCAAAAATGTTCAATTTTACTGTAATTGTCTACTTTTATGGAATTGCTGAGGATGAGCCTGTGTGTCCAGTAATCCAGGAGCACTCACTTTCTAGCAGCTCATGTACAGAGGGTACAGTTACAGCTAGGAAAGAAGCAGATGGGCAGGCAAAGAAGCTAAAGGGCCACTGCTGGGGCAGGAGAGCAACTCCAGATGCTGAGAGTCACCTGAGGAGGGTTGGAACTGTCTCTCCTAATGGTGTGAGACCTGCTGCGAGTCAGAGAGGTGCTCATAGGTGTATGGCCCTGGGAGGCAGCAGGCTGTGCCCCTGCCAGTTTCACTTCTGCTGCAACTCAGGATGGTAGGGCAGAGCAGTAGGAATAAAATATTCCCACCTTTATTTTTGTAGCCACAAATAGTTTCTGGTATTGTTTGAAAAACAGAATCAGAGTGGATGAGACCTAGAGGCTGCCACCACAAAAACATAGCCAAGTTCAAAGTTCTTTGTGGGGACAGGTGCCCTGTGTCCACAGGTACCTGGGCTCAGAGAGCAGTTCCTGCACAGCAGGTTGCTTTGCAGGTAGTCGAAAAAGGTACACTTTGTGGGAGGGAGAGAAGACCTGAATTAGCTTTATAGCTCTGCTGGAGCTGGGTGATCACCAAGAGCCCTTTCACATCTTGGGTGTTTTCCAAGGCTCAGCCCCCCAGGAAGGATTCAGGATGCTGCAGGAATCTACAATGGAAATATGCTTCCTTTGCTATGCCCTGGTCCTGAGCCACAGACAGAGGTGATGCTCCCTCTCACGGGGGAGCCCTGCTGTAGGCAGTATATGTGGGGAGGGGGCATGGGTGCCCCTCTCATCTACAAACCACTGCCAGGGGTTGGGGAACCCACCCGCAGGCTGTGACTGCAGGGCTGGCCAGGGGAAAGTGGCTCAGCTGCTGCAGCCATCGCTGCCCGCCCAGGCTGATGCTCTGTGCCCTCTCAGCATGCTCAGCCGTGCTGCAGCAGGGTCTCACGGGCAGGGCAGGGTGCGATGCTTGCAGGAGTACCCAGACAGCACTGGGGGCACCCAGGTGTGGCTGGGACCATTGGTGCCAGGGGCTGTACGTGGTGTGTGGGGAGGTGGCACTGGCCCTAGCTCCTGCAGAGCTCCAGGGCCAAGTCCAGGCCCCACAGTGTGTCCCCAGGGAGTGCCCAGAACCTGGTGCAGTGAGACCCTGGGGCACACATCACCACCATGCTACACACTCATACCCCCCCCCCCCCCCTCCCCCATGCAGAGGCACCCTTGTTTTTGGCAGAGGCTCCGGCCCCACTGTTCCCCTCCTTGTGCAATGTCCCCTGGCAAACCACAGAGGAACCGAGTCACCCTGACTAAGCCAGCTTGGTTCAGCCGCTGACCACAATATAGTGGACACCTTCCTGGGAAGCCCCCTCGCTCCCAGGGAGGGATCAGCAACTCACCGGAGAGAGGAGGCACACAATGGCACCCTTCAGGGGTGTGGTGTGGTACCAGCAGGAACCCAGACCATGACAGGGTGCAGCCCTGCTGCTTCCATCCCCAGCTCCACCGTGGGGACAGAGGTGGCTCTCTCTGAGGCTTTAGAGGCACCTTCTGAGTGCAGGCAGGGGATGGCTCCTTCCCACCTCAGAGTCAGTAGAGGGTGGTTGACCCATAGAGTGTTCCTGAGCCTCAGGGTGCCTTTGGGCACATCTCCCAGTGCAAGACCTGGTCTGCAGCCTGAGTAGCCACTCTCCTCGGACGGCCCTGGAGAAAAGCAGTGCCTGATAAAATCTTTTTCATCATTTGAAAGCGTTTGGCCACAGGAAGATGTGTTATCCAAGTGCTGCCCTGGCTTGGAGTGGGGGAGATGGTTGCAAGCATTAGCTAGGGACAGAAGGACAGGGGTGCTTTAAGACAGCCCCTGTGGAGCAAAAACATCCTCTGCTGCAGCCAGGAAATCCTGTGGCATCCCCTCCGGCAGGCACTGTGCCCAGCTGCATTTTCCCTGAGGCAGGAGGATTCTTGAGGATGTTCTTCATCTTTCATCAGGCCAGGGATGGGCTTTCCTCTTTCTCACCTCCCTGCTTCAGTGCAGTCGTTTGATGCTTCTCCCCTGGGATCTCCACTGTCTTTCTGCTCCAAGAAGCTACTGTGTTGTGACTTGCCAGTCTATTTAAATTGCCAATTTATTTTCTGCAGGTAGGGCAGGCACTGGCATTATGTGCATTTTAAGGTCTTTTTTACATCTCAGCCTCTTTGCTTTTGTGGATCTGCAAACTGCCCTGTCCATGCTGCCCATGCTGTTGCAAACTGCTGGGCTTTGCCCTGTGCAGCATCCTCCAGTTGTGTGTGACACCAGGCAAGAGGTATCCCCATCTGAATTGCTACTATTGTGGCTGTCCAGCTTTCCGTACACAGGGTCGGGTGGTGCTTGCTGAAGTTACCTTTCTAAAAGTCCTGACTTCTGGGGCAAGCCCCTGAAAGAAAAAAATAAAAGCTAAAATAATGAGGGGAAAGATGTTGCTAACCATTTGTTGTCACCTTTGAACTGAAGTGACTTCCTTCTCCTCCCTCTTGCTGTTCTGCTTTCAGAGCAAGATGATTACAAACACTAATTAAACTGTGCTTGGGCCATGGGCAGAGGAGTACAGGCTTTTTCCTATCTGAGCAGTAAAATTAAAAGGTATTTTCTGCACTTTTCTGCTATGAAATGGCAAGGAAACATGGGGAGTGCTTTCCTAGGTTCTTTTTATTTTTATTCACCCTTGAAAGGAAAAGGACTGTTTTGCAGAGAGGCATTTTGGGTGGACTCACCAGCCTGACAGGAAACAAGGCAGGATCTGCTCCTTCCACCCATACCTGCTGCTCTGCCAGGGACTCAGTTGGCCCAGCCGTGTGATGGGACTGTATCTGGCTCTTCTGGGGACAGCTGCATGGAGGGGGCAGTTCCCTGGGCTGCCCTGCTCCAACCACAGCTGCCAACCCTCCTCTTCTGCCTCTGGCAGTCAAACGCTTCCTGGTGCCCAGCAGCTAGAAAACCCACTTCTGCTCTTAAAGGCACTCACATCCTTCGGCAGAGTCGTGGGGCTGGGAGCAGCGTCCGTCCTGATGAGCACCACCGCAGGCAGTGAGCGGAGCTGTGCCGGCTGCCGCGCCTCTCCCCTCTGCTGTGGGGGTGCCGCGAGGGTACGGTGGGGCTGCTGGGGGCAGCTGTAATGTGTCTGCTGGCCTGCAGACCATTGCTCTCCACAATGAGCCGGAGAAGGCCTGCCCCAGGGAAGTCCATGATGACCACCCCCCAGCACACGGGCCGTCCCCGCCGGCGCCACAGGTGCTGGTAGCAGCGTGGGTTCACAAAGCGGGCCACCTCCTCGGGGCAGGTGAAGAGCCCGTTGCCAGAGCAGAAGGTGAGGTGCATGGTGGCAGGGTCCCCGCTGGCCGCCCTCTCTAGGTGCCGCCGTGCCTGCACCCACTTGCGCTCCAGTGAGAGCACGTTCCAGGCATCACTGATGCTCAGCTGCTCATAGGGGATGCCCAGCACCTCCTGCGCCAGCGCCTCCAGCACCACAATCTTCCCTCGCACCTGGCCCAGCGTTGGTACCTCCTCCCGACACCACACACAGCCCTGTCCCTCCTCCAGTAAGCAGCGCTGCAGCTGGGAGGCGAAGCCAGGCCGGGAGAAGATGGGCAGCTCCTCCTTGATGCGCATGAGCACAGCCTCGCCGGGGTGTGCGCGGAGGAAGCGCAGGGTGCGGCGCAGGACCCCCCGCAGGCTGGCCCGCTGGAAGGTGCAGAGATGGTACACATGGAGCTCGCCCCGTGCCAGCCTGCAGCGCACATCCAGGAAGCGGACACCAGCTGCCAGCTGAGCCTCCAGGCCCCAGCTCTGGCACCGCAGGCGCCGGCCACCGAACAGGCTGAGGGAGTCGTGGGTGCCAGGGATGGAGAGGCGGGAGAGGGGCAGGGAATCGGGGAGCCCCGCCATCCAGTCAGGGCAGCAGGCTGATGGCTGGGGCGTGCAGTCAAACGCTGCGCTGCGCCAGCACTGCGCCTCCATGCCACTGGGAGAGTAGACACCCGGTGCCTGGCCAGCCGTACAGAGGCCTGCCGTGGAGGAGAAGCATAACTTGAGCAGTGGGAGCACCACATGGCCCCACGCATCCCAATCCCACTCCTGCCCAGAGGTGTCCCCACCATGCTATGAAACCCTATGGCATACCACGCACCCCGTACATGTTGCTGCCAGTACTCTGCAGCATCGCACTATATAGTTCCCAGTCCCCCTCCCGTTCTCAAGCACTCATCCCACTACCCTGGACACCCACTACACGCCAGCCTTCCCGTCCTGTGCCTACCTGGGTTTGCCTGTGGCTGTGGGATGCAGGCCACCAGATGGGACGCACAGCCATGGGTGCCAGAGGCACTCTGGCAAGTAGAGCGGGATGCCGGCCATTAACCCTGTGATGGTCATGACGCGCATCCTGCCTTGCATGTGGCACGTGCACCAGGGATTCATCCTCAGCCCTCGGCCAAGAGGAGTGCTCGGCAGACATGCCGGGCTGGAAAATCACCTGGCTGATCCCTAAAGCCTCTGCACCTCCCTTCTCAGGAATCAGGATAAACAGGATTGGGGTGCTGCAGGGCCCCTTAATGCTACCTGTGGGAGCAGCTAGCTGTGCAGAGCCCCTGGGTGCCCACTGCAGAGTCATGTCCCAGGTCGGCTTTCAATGGCACCTGGCCTGCCCTGTCGATGATTGCCATTGTCCCTCTCATTGTCCCGGCAGCTGGTGCCTGGGGTGGGTAACTTGCCTGCTGCCTTGAGGACACAGCTATGGGGCACGCTGGCCAGCAGCGCACTCTGCATCAAATGGGTTTGGGAAGGAGATCACAGACACCTGTAAGCATCCCACCAGGAACACATCCCCTCTGCCTGAGCATGGAGGGCAGAGGACTTACAGGATCACAGAACTGTTACGGTTGGAAGGAACCTCGGCAGATAATCCAGTCCAACCACCCTGCTAAGGCAGGGACACACAGAGCAGGTTACACAGAACGCATCCAGGCAAGTTTTAAATGTCTCCAGAGACAGAGACTCCATGACCCCCCTGGCAGTCTGTTCCAGTGTTCTGCCACCCTCAGCATAAAGCGTTCTTCTTCATGTTGAGGTGAAACTTCCTGGGTTTTAGTTTTATTGCTCCTCGTCCCTGTCGCTAAGACCACTGTAAAGCATCTGGCACCATGCAGCCTTCCAGGACGGCTTTCTGCTGTGGGCTCTGCCACTGCAAGGACACCGAGCGCAAGGACAGGAAGGGGAGCACTAGTATATTGTGTCCCTGTGCGCTGGGAGCAGCAGCGAGACTGAGGCGGGTCCCCTCGGGCAGCCCCTGCTCGGGACCCCCGGCAGCCTCCCTGTGCTACCTCCCCTACGCGCTGAACGCAGCCCCACGCTGAACTACAGCAGCTTCTGTCCGCCTCCTTGGCCCCGCTGCCAGCGCCGCCGGGAAGAGCCCTGCTCGCCGGGCGGTAAAGAGCGTGCAGGCGGAAGAGGCCCGCCCCACCTCGCTCGGCATGGCGGCGGAGGGCAGTAACGGCGGCAGCGGCAGGGGCAGGTCCTGCTTCGTGCTGGGCGCCTCCGGGGAGACGGGCCGGGTGCTGCTGCGGGAGCTGCTGGCCCGGCAGCTCTTTGCCAGGGTGACCCTGATCGGGCGGCGCTGGCTGAGCCTGGGCGAGGAGACCGGCGCGGCCGTGGTGCGTTGGGCCGGGCGTCCCTCGGGGGTCCCGGGAGCCGGGGTGGCCGCGCTGACCCCTGGGCTCCCCGCAGGAGCAGGTTGTGGTGGACTTCGAGCGGCTGAGCGAGCACAATGCTGCCTTCCGGGGACACGACGTCGGCTTCTGCTGCCTGGGCACCACCAGGGCCAAGGCTGGCGTGGTGAGTGGGGCCCCGGGGGGAGCAGGGGTCCTGCCTGCCCTCTCCCTCCCATGCTGACCCTCCTCTGTCCTTTACCCACAGGATGGCTTCATCCGTGTGGACCGGGACTACGTTGGGCAGGCGGCAGAGCTGGCGCGGGCAGGGGGCTGCAAACACTTCCTCCTGCAGTCCTCCCGGGGGGCAAACCAGCACAGCCGCTTTCTCTATCTCCGGGTGAAGGTGAGGAGGCGCATGAGGGGAGCTCCTGATGTTCGTGCAGGAGTCAGAAAATGCTGGGATGCTCAGGAATGAAGCAGGAGCTGAGGTCTCTAGAGATGAGAATGGTTCTGGGGGTCCTGCTAGGGCACAGGGGAATGAGGGAAGGGGGCTGGCTGGACAGCTGTGCAACTGGCTTTGTCCAAAGCAGCACAACACTGGCATACAGCATCTGTCTCCTTCTTCAGACCACAGAAAGACCTGCTCAGGTCTCCAGCCCGATCCCAGCTCCCCAAACTGGGACGGCTTAACTGCTAGGTGAGGAGGCTCAGGGCTGTGTCCAGATGAGATGTGAACTATCCCAGGGTGGAGAACCCACAGGCTCCCCATGTGGGACTGTGATCACTGTGAAGGTTTTTTTGTGTGCTACAGCCCCCAGCATCTACTGGGCTCACTGCTGTCTCCAGTGTCCTGTTCTGGGATCCCTGGGCTGGGCACTGTCCAGATGCTGTCTCAGGAGCATCCAGTTGCAGTTAGCATGATGGTTGCAAGGGTGCACTGCTGATTAACAGTCCACCACCTTGGACACTCGCCCTCCACTGCCTTTTCCTGGGGAGCTGCTGGCTGCCCTGGCAGTGTCTGGCCTGTACCAGCTTTACATTTGCTTTAGTGCAGTCCTGCCCATTAGTTAACAGCCCTTTCCTGCCAATTCACGGCATGGGAGAGATGGTACTTGCAGTCACCCTTGTCTCCTTTCGTCCTGCCCTACTGCTGTGACAGGGAGAAGTGGAGAACCTGGTCCAAGCTGTTGGTTTTGATCGGTGTACCATTCTCCGGCCAGCGTGAGTAGCAGTGGAGGGAGGGTGGGCACAGGACTTGGGTGGAGGGTTGCCAGGTCAGTGGGCTAGGAGATGGAGAAAGAATCTGTAAAGGGAGGGCTGGGGAGAGAAATGGAAAAAGCCACCAGCTGCAGATGCATCTCCTGGATAAGCACACTGCTTCCCAGTGCTGCAGGGAGCAAGCACAGCAGTTTACCATGGCCTGTATCCCAATGCTAGTGTCACATGCCATGTAAGAAGAGGGCTGGGTTGAAAGCAGTGGTTGAGGGACATAGGTCAAAGCTTATCTCTGCACAGACCTTGACCTTCTGCAGAGGAGATACTTGCCTGTATCTCTTCAGGTGTACCGTGCTCTTGCCACCTGGGAGTACTGGCATACTAGTTTTGACAGCACAGTGGGGAAAGGATTTTTATGTCCCAGGACTCAGCTTGGTCACGTTTTGGGACCCTGCCAAAGCCTCGTGGGTTTAGCAAGCTGGGCTGGGCCCCTAGCACAGCTGGAGAACCCAGTCTCCAGCTTTCTCCTGAGGGATGGCTTCAGTCTGACCCACCTTCCCTGCTCGCTCTGCAGGGTGCTGCTGTGCAAACGCCAGGAGTCCCGGCCCATGGAGTGGATAGCCCGGCAGTTTCTGGGTGTTGTGGCTTGGGTCTTCCCTACTGCTTACTCAGTACCTGTGGAAATGGTGGCCAGGGCTATGGTGGCCAGTGTGCTGCAGCCAGGCAAGGGGAAGGTGGAGGTGTTGGAGAATGGGGACATCCATAAGCTGGGAAAGGCAGTGTCACAGCAGGGCACATAGAGTAAAAAGGATGGGCAGGAAAGAGTTTGATTCACTGTTCAGATACTCTTCTGGGCCAAGGATGAGTGCACATGTGGGATAGGGGCAGGGTGCTCGCATGGCCAGTGTGGAGGTAGAGATGCACTTCTTTGCATGTCAGCTGGTTCTGTCGGCTGATCAAAAATGCAGGTGCTGGTTGGTGGGTGACAAGAAACTATGTGCTCTTCTGCTGGGATCCAGCATGGAAACCTGGGTAAAAAAGGTGTAATTTTATTTCTTAAATAAAATCGTGTGACTGGTCTGTTTGTGCCATCTTTGGGTTGAAATTGTGTCTGTCACCTCGTCAATTGAACTGCATCTGTTCACAAATTGTGCCTTTGGTGACCTTTCAGCGAGCACACACAGGCAGGTGGCCATGCTGTGGACAGCCACAGGAAAGCAGAGGCAGTGCACAGCTGCCTGTGCTGAGGCTGCACTCCACAGAGCACACGGTGGCACCAGTGCCACTTAAATAGTGGAGCTCCTGGAAGCTCAACAGTATTTGGTGAGGTGCCTAGGGTGTGAGGTGCCTAGGGTGGTGGCTCTGCCTGTAGTAGGTCTCTTGACCTGCCTCTCTGTCCTCACTGATCTGCTGTGGGTGCAGAGGGACTGCTACAGGGATGCTGCTGTTCAGAACCAGACTGTCACTTTAGTACCTGTAGGGGCATAAACACTATGCAAATGCTTGCATTGACTTGAAAATGCCTGTACCAAGCAGGCTTCTCTGGGCTTTCCTTACAGACACAAGTGAACCAGAGCTCAGCCCTATGTTCCCGAGGGTGCTCTGCATGTGCAAGAGGTTATGCCAGCCCCATGCACATCTCAGGCTAGGTTTGCCCCTGCCCCATGCTGTCCTAGAAGAGGAGCAGGTCCCTGCCGTGGGCACAGAACAGGCACAAGGAACAGTGCCGTGTTCCAGCCTCATCCCTGACCGCTCTCAGGGTCGAGGAACTCAGTGGCTCTGCGGCTGGGACATGAGTCTTACGTGACTCCCGAATTCCCAGCTGGCCAGAGTCCCAGTGCTCTGGGTAGTGCTGCTTTCCAGGATTTTCTGTTCAACCTCACCCATGGCTCCTGTGTCAGTGACTTGGCTGTGGTGAGTGGAGTGAGCCTGACTCTCCTCCTTCCTCTTACACGAGCACTTTACTCATCGGGCTGGGCCTCAGAAGCTTGGGGGAGGCAGTTGGCTGGTATAGCCTCAAACTGTGTGTTAATGGGGAGTGTGTTAATGGACTCCTCAAACACGTGTAAGGCTTAGTGCAAAGGTAACAAATGAGGGGCCATGGAGCCATAATTACTGACGAGAGCAAACTCAATACTTTTAGAGTAATATTTAGTGTCAAAAGGGAAATACGAGGTAGGCTGGTCAGGAGCATCACACAAGTATCTGAGGGGTGTTAAGCTTACGCAGCACAAAGTCTGTGTACGCATGCAGCACTGGATTACATAGGCATAAAAGCATGCCAACACACAAAGATTCTTGAGAAAAGGCGATGTGCTTACACAGAGTGAAAATGAACATCTGAAGTGGTAGACCTTAAAGGAAGTGAAAATTGAAAGGCAAGGCACAGAAGATTTGAAGAAAGCATCCTAAAGGCATAAAAATTAATCATAACGATGTAAGAAGCCCCAGGGATGGAACATGACCTGGCTCTGTAAGAAGGAAAGAGATATCACAGAAAGGCTTGGTGAGTTACTTGCAGTGGCCTTTACTCTGCAGGAGCTCACACCAGCATTATGCCTTAGGGGACAAAGCACCTGGGGGGGAGGGGGGAGAATAATTGCTTTAAACCCCACTTTTAGAA